GGAAGTAGAGAGTTCGGTCAACGGCTCAGCCAGTTTTCCACACGAAAAACAATTTTACGCATTTGAAGCTAACAAGGTGCACTAAAAGCCGTGGCGTAGGAGGCTGCCAACTGACAGGATAACTTGGATTGCGCAGTCAGCCCAGTGTGCGTTTCTGTGAAGTGGTCGACTGGTGGACTGTAAGTCAGGCTACGATGTCTCCTTTTTGATGTGGCCTTTATGAGACCCTCACTCCACGGAATCCGAGCCAGATGTGGTGGCACGCACAGGGGCGGCTCTGGCCGCGCCAACCAGCTGTGCCATCTTCCGCCTCCAGGCTTCTTGACACCGGAGCGTGGTGGAGGAGAGGGTGCGGTAGATGCAACACAATTCTGCTCTCTCGTTATAACCTAACTGGCGCGCAAGTCGCTATTTTTAGCCTTCTGTCGGCGTCACAGCGATTGTAAGATTCTGAAATTTTAAAATATTTCATTTTCTTCGACTTGGGATTTTTCGTCATCACTATCAATCCTGGAAAGCAGTGGTGGTGGAAATGATGATAGTAAAGCACGCCCCGTTTCTAAGTAGGTGTAGGTGAAAACATTGTCTTCTTTAGAAGGAAGTTTTGGCAGATTTGAATGATTATTTTAAACCAATTGTCAAAAAATCTGCAGCCTCTGTGGGATTCGAACCCACACCAGCGAGGGGGAAGGGTTTAGTACAGCCAACTGAGCCACGACGCCTCCAACGCGTGCCATGAGTTTAATCAGGCTTGGGTCATTTTACGCGTCCAGCCTACTACAACCTATGGAACTCACCAATTCCGATGCAGCAAGCTGACTACCCAAGCAGGATCTCCCTAGCAATTAATCTGGAATCCGCCAGATGACTACCAGGCGAACTTAATTAGTAGGGAACTTTTGTAGATCTGAGTAATTAATTTGACCCAGTTGTGAAAACTTGGCGGCCTCGGTGGAATGCTCATGGTGTGAGTAAACTCACGATGCCCAATGGGGGCCCCGTTATTCAGTTGGTTAGAGTGTTGGCTGTACTAGAGCCTTTCCTTTGCTGACGTGGGTTCGAATCCCAACGAGACCGCCGGGTTTTTCAAAATTGAATCAAATGAGTTGTCTACTTCCCTGGGTAAATTGAACGACTGTCGGAGTCCGAATTGTGGCTGCTCGCAGACACTTGGTTGGATGACTTACGACTATTTTGCCTCTGTTAGGTCATCCATCCTCGCGATTTGCTTATGGCCTCTTGAGCAAACTCCTGGATTATGTGGAGAGTGCCATGACAAGCGTGAAGGAGAGCAAGCCCAGCCAACAGTTCAGTCGCAGGCACTCCACTGAACACACCAGTGAGGAGATGAAATTACTGGTCAAGGTCGTGTTGCCATTGGTGGAGCGTTACTTCAATGTACGGAAGAACTACTTCACGGATCCCTACTCGGGTGCCTCCATCGAAGAGAAGAAAATGGCCGCCATGTAAGCTTCTCACCATGGATCCTATTCTGGGACTGCTTGCTGGTGCGATTAAATGAGTAGTATTCACCGTGTTATGATATTTACAACGTTCTCACTTCTTTGCCTAGGCTGTTTTGCAAGCTCTTCACTCTACTACGCCTGAAAACAAAATGCTTCGGATCCGACGTCAACGTCACCGTCTCCTGTCTCAAATGCCTCATACAGACCATCGACGTGAAGGCAATCGTCAAAATCAGTTACGCTGAGGACTTTGTTCGCGTACGCCTCCTGCCCTTCTTCACCTACTGCGCAGACGATCTGAATCTGTGTGTGCGTAACCTCGAGGCCGGACGATACTCACACATCAAGGGCACCATCCGCAGAGGCGCCTGCAGCATCCACTATGTCCACATGATTCTGCTGCCCACTGTGAAGACTATGTTTGAGCACATTAGCAAGACCCTCTGTGGTGATGAGCTGCTCGTTGGAAATCTACAGGTCACCTGCTATCGCATTCTCAATGCTCTTTACATGCTGGGGACAAGGAATCTGAAGCACACCAGTCGCCCATTCCTCGGGGACGAGCTGAACAGGTACACCTTTTTGGGCGATGGTTTTTGTTAGGTATAGCAGCCGAATATCCAGCGACTGCTTATAAGATAGTCTGCAAAAAGGAGACTGTTCGTTCTTTTGGGCTAAGCACTTTACCTACGGCATTAAGCTTGAAGGCACATTTTGGCATGGTGCTATAAGGAGAAGGAGCGCGGTCATAAGTCTGCTCTTATTTATAGGTTGCTTTGCGCTAAATTCCAGGGGAGACGAAATTTGAGACAATTGTTTTAGTTAGGGTTAGGGTGGTTATCGTAAAAGTTAGGACTAGGGTCAACGTTGAGGTTAAGATTACATTTTAGACATGGTAATAGGTACTTCCCCTTAATACGCCATAACGACAGCACAGATACAAACTAAAATCCAAGGCACCTACTTTGCCGATATCCTTTCGCCGCACGACGCAGCTATGAGGGCTCCGGCCTATCTGTGGGTCTCCCCAGCGTCCCCTGCTTGGTTAAGAAATTATTGATCTTTAGTATTCTCAGAAATGGATCCCTAAGCTGGAGTAAATACTTCTATTGGGACCTCCATATGCGTAGACTGAAAGGCGATGTGTATGTTTTTGCCGACTTTTATCAGCGATGACTAGATACTGACGTAATATTCATTAGACTACCATCAGACAGCTAGTACTATATACATGGGAAGAAAAGGTGAGACGTATAGGCCGGTGAGGTGGAATCGACGAAGATACAGGAGACCGGAATGGCTCTTTCTGGCTTATCAGCCGCCATCAGCCAGCCATGCCCAGTCCCAGATGTGAATAATCCGGAATTCGAACCCGCGGCCCTTTTTTCACTGAGTGTACAGATAGCTAGCTTTGAGTTGAAATAGTTTTGCAATTTCTGAACTCCAGACAAAAAGTGTTTTGTTGCCTTTATTTCAGACATCGACCTGTCCTGGGAGAATGTCTGGCGGCGCTGGCCAGCTGCTTCCCCGTCGCCTTCTTGGAGACCGAACTCAGTGCCAACAATCCTCTCTCCATCACCTACCACAGTGAAGAGGCCGATTACAGTTTTGAGGCACGAGGTACTTGCAGAGCTTCAGTATTCGCGCGATGTCTTATACCCCCTCCCACATGTTCTCCACCAGCTAGGCGTCTTCCCAAGTAACCATAAAAATATTACTTCTTATGACTGTACCTCACTCAGTCCCAAAGTCAGTCCTTATTCAGTCCACAACATTCGTCTAAGTGTGAGAAACTTTTTGGGATAATAAAGGTCTCTGAGTGATGTTTAGGGTCCATTAAAAATGTTAGATAAGACTCTGGAACAAACGTTCTCGGCAGTACTGGTGGCTATGAACTAGTTTCCAGCAGGGGGACTTATTACCGTGTCCTAGCCTTGACCCTAACATTCACTCTAACTTAGAGCTTAACCATAACCCTACCCCTTATATTACCATGGTCGTAGCGCTAGCCTTACCAAAATATATAATGTTATATCCCCCAGTTGTATTTTAGGAAGAGAAGATATACAGGATAGCAGAGAACTGTTTACTGTAACCCTTTATGCTTGATCACCAAAGTCTGTGCGTGTCTCTCAACTTGTCCCGTGTCCGTCAGCAAGTCGTTCCGTCTGCAGCTTGTCTTCTGCCGTCGGTAGCGCGCTCTTTTGTC